TGCCTGCCTGCCTGCCTGCCGCCCCCCCCCCCCCCCCCCCCCCCCCTCCTCTTCAAAACAGTGTAATCCCAGCATTTCTGAGGAAAGCCAAATCAGAGGCCTTTAATCTCAGCACCAAGGAGACATAGCAATTCTAGGCCAGGCTAAGGGTTACTGTGACTTTCTCAAAGAAAATAACAAAACCCATAAGCAAAACCTTATGACCTACACTTTGAAACCATCTTTTCAAACCAAAGGCTCTCCAAATGCTTCTGGCACACAGCCTAGTGTGGGAACCACTGTTGTATTGCACTGATATAAACACTCGATTTATGACGTAAACCTATATAGTATGTGCAATAAAACAATTTTATCATCTATACATCAAGTCCTATGGAACTTTGAAACTGGGGTTCACTTCTCTGTTTTCTTAACATTTTAAAAACTGAAATGGGGGCGCTGGAGAGATGGCTCAGAGGTTAAGAGCATTGACTGCTCTTCCAGAGGTCCTGAGTTCAATTCCCAGCAAGCACCTGGTGGCTCACAACCATCCATTATGAGACCTGGTGCTCTCTTCTGGTGTGCAGATATACATGGAAGCAGAATGTTGTATACATAATAAATAAAACTTTAAAAAAAAACTGAAATGGGAGACAATGTATTTTCAAGGAATGGCTGCTTTCTGGGGCCTTCTTACAATAAACACACTATAAGGTTGAAATCGATACTGAACATAATGTAACTTTCCTTTGATGACCCAGCAGACTTCAGGATCTCCCAACGTCACTGGGTCAACCCTCACTATTACCAACTAGTCACTGTACTGGCAAAAACAAAATAAAAAATATATACAAAAAGATATATCTTAAGAAGGTAGACTAATCCAATGAGATAAAACTAAAGGGAGACTTAAATGAGCTGCTTCAATATACAAACAGAAAAAAAAAAAAAAGAGGCTATTTTCTCTTTTAATCTTCACATGCATACATATTTTCCATGTCTTAATCCACAGAACAATCCTACTAGATATTTTCATTTTGCAGAATAAGAAAAGAAAGCTCGGGGAGGAGTCAGGGGGTGAGTTGGGGTAGAGTGGGTAGGGAACATGAGAGGATGGGAGGGTGAGGGAATTGGGGGATGGATATGTAAATATAAGTAATAAAAAAGAGAAAACCCAGGGGGAAAAAAAAGAAACTAAAGCTCACAGAGGTTCAGGAATTTACCTAAACTCATGCAGCCATGAAGTGAAGAGCTGGGTTCCAAAACTAGATTAGTCCATTTCATTAACCCAAGTTTACTTACTTAATATATCTAGTGCCCAATTCTGTTTTAACTCAGATTTTCCAGACTTGAGCAACTTTTCTTCTTTCCATGAACTGAGCAAAGAACCTGTGACTAAAACTTTTTGACAATTTATTAAGCATCCATTAATTTCAATAAGGGCTTCAGCCACTAGAAACAAAATAGCCAGCACATTGGTTTTAAAAATCTTACACAAAAAGTCCCCAGGCATCTCTCCCATCCTGCACTGATCATAACTACATTCCACTACCTATTCAAACCTCCAGCTGTTTCTACATTATCATTCATTTGTCCACTCAGGGAATAAAGAAAGCTACTTTCACCAAAAACCCTCCCTCATGACTCCCAGTAGATAATACAGGAGAGGGGCCTTGCTGTAAAGCAGTGAATATAAAAGTCATACAAGCTTTCTGTTTATCTGTCACAACTAGGAGACGGGCTATTCTAGCAAACCAAACATCCCGGAAAATATCACGATGTGATCAGAATGACTGCCAATTTATAAAGAATTCAGTGCATCCCATTTCAATTTTAAAAATGTTAAGCCAGGCAGGGGGCAGTACACTGCACACCTTTGATCCCGGCCCTCAGGAGGCAGAGGCAGGTGAATCTCTGAGTTTTAGGCCAGCCTGGTCTACACAGCAAGTTCCTGGATAGCCAGGGCAACACAAAGAAATCCTGTCTTGGGGAGGAGGGGGGTAAAGAAAGCAAAGAAGTGAACCCTAATTTTCAAAATCCCATAGAATTTGATGTACAGATGTTGTTTTTATTGTACATATTTATATATTTATAAATACATATATTCCTATCAATGGTTCCCAAACTAGGCTGCACCTTAGAAGCAGTTAGAGAGCTTTTTTAAAATCAGATGGTTTCAAAATGCAGGTCATCATTCGATGAACCAAAACCTCCAGAAGGTGGGGCCCTGAGATCAGAATCTTTCAAGACTGCCTGGGTTACAAACTGAACCTCTCAAGGAGTGGCTGACTTCTGGGAAATCCTTACAATAAAACAAGACTGAAAGTGACACTGAAGATAATCTGACTTTCCTTTTCGGGCTCAGGAGACATCAGGGTTTCCCAGTACCACTGGGTCAACACTCACCACTACTGACTAGTCACGGCACTGGCAAAACCACAGAGTAAGGAAAAGTTTAACATAGATTTCCTAAAGACCGAAAGCTGGAAAAACCAGCTTTTGTTTTACTATCAGATTCAACAGCTGGGTTTCTCCCAGAAGAAATGCCGATTTTATACTTGCTTTGTAAAGGGGAAACGTTTTAAAACATGTAGGACTCTTAACCAACTGCTTAGCTCCACTTCAGATGTAAACAGACTCCATAAATGTGGACTATTCAGCCCGAGTAAACGCAAAAGAGGAACATCATGGCCATCTTAAGGAAGAAAGATAATGGGTTTAGACCAAGATCAGCTTAACAGAATTAGTTGTGACCAACTGTCCAGAGTCCAGCAACTGTTAAGTCCTGGGGACAGGGCTGGCTAAGGACAATAAACACACAAGAGGCCAATTACTACCTATCTGAGATGACCTTTATGTGAACCTGAGAGCTCAATCAGTTTTAGGATTTTAAAATTTCATGTCTAATATAAAGTCACAAAACGAGAAATTAACCTGAGCATTTCCCCACTAAAGAATGGGGGTTTACATAAGAAAAGATCGTCCTTGCAATTATCAAAATCATTATTAAATACACACCAGGTCTATCAGTAGTCAAACAAAGATAACCAAGGAGTTATGGTTTGTAGTTCCTTGGTGCAGTATGTTTACTATGTGCAAGGCCCTCAACTCCACCCCTTACCACACCACTACCACCCCCCCACCACAGTTCTAATAACCAGCAACAACCACCAAATAAGTCATCAACTCCAAAAAACAGAAGAAAACAAAGCAGTCCCTCCCTTGAGACTTCACTAGCAGCAATCTGAACCATCCCATCCTCAGCCAACTCTAGATTGTAGAAGACTCCAAGGTACAGCAATTAATCTTTCTCTTTCCATCCCAAACATAAACACTAGCACTAACAACACAAGTTTAATGTCAAAGTCACTCATCTGCCATTAAAATAACAGCCGTATTAAAAGATTCTACGATTCGAATAAAAACCAGTGCACTTAGCTCCTTCCCCAACATTCCTGACGATTATGTGGATGGTGTCAGTAAGTAGCAGGTACCGCCCACATAGGCAGGTGTGGCTGCATTAAACTTCACATGGATCAGATAATAAGAGGCATGGTACTAAATACTTAGATCAACCGGCTTGGTGGATAGTTTGAAAACAGTTAAGCTTCCTGAGAACGGCTTTCTCTTTTTTTGTTATTATTTTAGCAGTTGGATAAATTGGCCAATTTAGTGGATGGATTTATAACCCTGGATCCCAATGTAAACAGTCAGAATAACAGCTGTGATCAATAAGAAGTTTTAATGGACTGGACTTTAAAAAGACATTTAAGTGCTGGGCATTGGTGGCACACGCATTTAATCCCAGCACTCCAGAGGCAGAGGCAGGTGGCTCTCTGTGAGTCCGAGACCAGTCTGATCTACAAGATTGAGTTCCAGAACAGGCTTCAAAGCCACAGAGAAACCCTGTCTCAAAAAACAAACAAACAAACAAACAAAAAAAAAACCAAAAAAGCATTAAAGTGAGTGTGTGTCTCCTATTACATAGGCATCTTTGAACACCATCAAATTATTAGACCTGCCATATCAATCTGCTACTGTCCTCCACAATATCCATCTGTTCTCAAGACTACCTGTAAACAGTCTTGGGGGTTGGGAGGTATGCCTTTAATCCAGCACTGGGGAGGCAGAGGCAGGTGGATCTCTGTGAGTTCCAGACAGCCAAGGAAACAGAGAAACTATGTCCCGATAAACCAAAAAAAAAAAAAAAAAAAAAAAAACCTGTAAATAAATAAACCACAACTTTTGAACTGTACCCTGGAGTCAAGAATTAACAAATGAGCAAAAAGTTTCAGAAACACTTGTCACCCTCTCTTTCTTTGAATGTGAGAGGATGTGGCGGAGGGGAGGATAAATAAGTTGCCAGAAAGGAAATATCATGGCCAACTTCAGTCCTAGAATTCTACAAACTCGGCCCAGGACCAAGTCCCCTCCCATTCCTAGAAAAATGCCACAATACTCGAACAGCCTTACCACATTTCTGTACACTGAACTGTCAAGGCGAGAACCACCACAAGGCTCTCAAAAAAAAAAAAAAAAAAAAAAAGTGGACAAGTAAGTCTCTTGGTTCTCCAAACCACCAGCCAAAACATGCGTAAGGAACTTACTAATTTCTTAGAAGGCCACATGCACCCGGGGTGTTTGTTCATGGCCTTTAACCAGGGTACAGAGTGAGAGTTGTGGGTAAAGTCCCATTTCCAAGTTAAAAATAATCTTCCTCCGTGGTGGACAGCGAGGAACGTGGTGCTCTTCCTTGATTACACAACCAGCACCTTCTCACCCCGCCACCACCACCACCACCACCACCCCCCAAATGACAGCCTAACAAAAAGGAGAAACCAAGCTGTAACTCTGTCGTTTCTACCAAGCTCTACGCAGACAGATGCCAGGAAAAGCTGCGAGCTCCTCAGGTCTACCCGCACTTCCCCATGCCCGGTCAAATGTCTCCTGGGCAGCCGGCTGGAGAGGGGCCCCACTTCCCTGAGCCTCGGCCAGATCCACACAGTGGCGACCTCACACACCTCGGGAAGAGAGGACTCCGAAGAGGCAGACGGCAGCCCCTGGCAGGGAGGAGGGGAGAACAGGAATCCCCAACTTCCCATCTAACCTCCAAACTCCGAATCTCCAGGGTCCTCCCGTAGGCGGGGAGCCAGTGTCGCCGAAGCTCCTCTGCCTCAGTTTTCTCTGACCTATGCATCCTTCCCCCCCGGGAGCCAGCAGGACCTGCAGGGCTCTTACGACACTTAGGCACAAGTTGAGGACACACGTCCCGGGTTACGGCGCACACAGGCGAAATGCTTTGCGGCACTTTCAATGGGACAGGTGTGAGATGACCTGGCGGCGGAGAGTCCCTGAGGCCAAGTGGCTGTCCCACTCCCGGAGCGCAGCTGGAGCCCCACACCCCCGGGAGCACAGCCTGGAGCACCCTGTCCTCCGGCCCGATCCGCCGCGGCCACCGCCTCCTCACCTGCCGCGGACGCTGCCCGGCCGCACCTGGGAGGACAGAGGCCGGCTCTCGACCGCGGCCGCTCA